CTTTATATTATATGTTATTTAAATTATTTTACTATCCTTTATTCTATTTTATTTTAACCAAAAACAATTTCAACTTTAACTCAATTAATAGTCTTGTTCACCTGCATCTCTAATGTATTCATCTAGAAGTGCTTCCATATCTTTTGGAGATTGTATTTCTCTCCTTATATTTCTTATTTGTGCCTTTACTTTATCATAAATCTTCTTTCTGTGAAGGTATTTATCTCTTTCTTGATTTCTTATTTCTTTCCATTGGGACATTTCCATTGGAGCATCATCTTCATCATTATTTATCATCCAATCCTCAATCTCCCATTCATCTTTCTTCTTCTTCATTCATTAACATCCAATCCTCAATTTCCCATTTATCTTTCTCCTCTCCTTTTTCTTCTATTACTATTGGTTCTTCAGAAGCAAAATCATCTTCATCGTATGTGTACCACTCCTCCATACTTTGAATATTCTCTGTTCTGTCTTCATTTTTGTATAACTCCTCTATTACAACTCCATTCCTTTTACTATTTTGAATAATTTCTGAATCACTTACTCTACTTTTTTCTATACGTACTCCTTTTATTTTAATACTTAATTCAACTGGTATAGAGTATGTTACAAATATAAATATTCTATTAGAAATATCTTCTATTGAGATAAATGTTTTATAATCTTTTCCCATCAAGTATTCCTTATTCTATCATATTTACTATCATCTGGGAGTGTTATTATAAATCTCTTTCCATGTACTTTGTTATTCATGGTTGAATTTTTAAATTCCAGTTCTAATTTTTTTAAAAAGAAATTCTTCATTTATTTCTTTTCTAATTTTATTCTCGTCTCTTTACTTATTATACCAAACATTTGTTCTAATGAATATTCTCTTGGCATTGATACTATTTCATCTTGTCTTCTACCAGTTTCATTAAAAACATTAATTAATACTTTTTCAATTTTTAGAATTTCTATTATAACATAATTAGATGAATTAAAAGTTTCATATATTCTCAATCCTCTTCTTTTAATTCGTTCTTTGTAGAATTCATATCCTGTAAAATAGTAACTCCATCCATCTAATCCTGGTTCTCTTCGTTTTGTGCCAAATAAATATGTTTTTGTTTCATCTTCTCTTCTATCAACTTCCATAATATATTTTCTATCAATATTTAGAATGTTCCCACTATATTCTACATATAATTCTTGTGCATTAAATGGATTATTTGGTATATTATCTAAAATTTCTTCTAGTAAATCTGATGATTTACCTACTGGATCTACTGAAAGAACGGTTACTGGTCTATGTTCTCCTAAATAGATTAATGATTGATCATCTTCTGATTTGATTGTGGAAGAATTCTCTAACATAACAACTCTTGGATATTCCTCTACTTCAACTCTTGGTTGATTTTCTTCACTTATTTCTCTACTTAAATCTATGTCTAATGAGTTAGGACTCATACTCATCTCTTCTATCTATTTTTTTTCAAGTTTTCTCAAAAACTATTCAATTATTCTATTCTATCATCTTATTATAATTCAATAAATCCTTTCTCAACTTCTTCTGTCTCATCATCACTTTCTTCTTCTTTATCCTCTCTTGAATATTCATTTTCTGAATCAGTAATACTATAATCAATTTCATTCTCATTTTCTAATATATCCTCATCTTCATATTCTTTTTCATCTTCATAACTCTCATCTTCATAGTCTCTCTCTTTCTCATATTTATTCTCATCTTCATACTCATCATCATCAACTCTTTTTCGTTTTGTTGAACCTCTTTGAATTTCTGATTCAATGATTTCTTTCTTTTTTCTCATTAAATACTCCTCATAATCATCTAAAATCTTTCTCTTCTGTCGTTCTGGATTTGGAAGATTAATTTCTTTTTCAGTAGGTAATTGAATATATTTCTGAATATCATAGATATATCCTTGTTTTTCATTTAATTCCTTTTTAATCCATTCGTTAATATTGATTGTATTACATTCTTTTAATTCATTGACTGGAATGATTGTGTCAAATAAATATTTATATTCTCCTTTGACTTCTTTTTGTGTGAATAATGGTCTTTCTTCTTCTATGCATTCTTCTTTCTGTTCTGGATAAATAATGGCATTTCTTTCAATAAATTTCCAAATATCACTAAAATGTCTTTGAAAATTAATATAATCTTCTTTATTGACTATAATAATTGGAATTAATGGAAAGATATATTCATACCCATATTTGATATCAACACTTGAGATATTTCTATTCATTAATGCTTTTAATTCGGTACTTTTCACTTCACTCCAATTAATATCATCTAAAATTCTAAATATTTTTCCTGGTTGATTTGACATTTTACTATATTCAAGATTATTTGAATGATAAATGTAATATTTATCTGGAACAATAAACTTTGTAAAAAATACACTTTTTCCTATATATGTACTTCCTACACAAATAAATGTCTTAAATCTATCTACTCCTCTTTTGTATGTATTCTTTAAAAATTCTATAAATGATTTATATAATGGATGTTCTTCATTTGGTAAATATAATTTCTCAGTCTTTGTAATTAATGCTTTTGTTAAGTAATTATATCTATTATTTTTCCATGTCATTCTTAATTCATTAATAATATATGTTTCAAGTCCACTTTTTGCCGCTCTATTCTCAATGTTTCTTGATCCCCTGATTCTAAAATATATTTTCTACTCTCAATTGTTCTTTGAATAAA